AGGAAGGAGAAAGGTAGGTAGAAAGGAAGGAAAGAAGGAGAAAAAGGAAGGGAGAAAGGTAGGTAGGAAGAAAGGAAGGAGAATGGTAGATAAGTAGGTAGGTAGGTTGGAAGGAAGGAAGGAAGGAAAAAGGGAGGGAGGAAGGGAGGAGAAGGGAGGGTGGGAGGGAGAAAGGAAGGAGCAAGATAAGTAGGAAAGAAGGAAGGAAGGAAGGAAGGAAGGAAGGAGAAAGATGGAAGGAAGGAGGGAAAGAAAGAAAGGAAGAAAGGAAGATTGAAGGGAAGGAAGGAAGGAAGGAAGGAAGGAAGGAAGGAAGGAAGGAAGGAAGGAAGGAAGGAAGGAGAAAGGTAGGTAGGTAGGAAGGAAGGAAAGAGAAGGATGGATGGATGGAAGGAAGAAAACAAACCTCAACCAGGGCTGGCGAAACAGACCTCCCTTGAGAGATCCAGGTGTCTGCAGGTGCCCTCACCCCTCCCCTCCCAGCTCTGCATGTGGTCACATTCACACGTTTCTTTGTTTTTTTTAACCGTTGGCCAAGTCCCTGCCTTTGCCTCGCCCCTCCTGGTTTGCTTCCAGACCTGACCGAAAGCAAAAAAGAAGGCAGAGACTGGGCCGGCTCGGTGCCCCCAACAGCCATCTCTCCAGAAAGCCTTCGGAGACCGAGAGAGAGAGAGCAAGAGAGAGGCGGGTGGTCCAAGAAGACGGAGCTGCAGCCCCCCCTTCTCGAAAGGGACGGAGGTCTCCCCCTCCCCCCTCCGGCTGGCCCCCGCCCGGAGTTACCTTCATGCTACATGCCAACTCCATCAGTTTCTTGGCGTTCTCCTCCGAGCGATACCTCTTGGGCAGCTGCACTCGGAAGAATTTCAGAGCCCCCTCGAAGTCCGTCAGCAGCAAGTCCTCCCTGGTGGTCTAGGAAGAGGCAGGGGAGAAGAGGAGGAATTACCAGTTGCCCTGCCTCGAAACCAGAACGGACATGTTCCCCCGAAAATAAGACCCATTCCTATGTAGCAGTCATGGGAGGCAAAAATGCCAATCCTAGGTGTTTCTCTGAGCTAATCTTGTCAGCTTTGGCTTGCCTATTTGTGCTGCTTATTGGGAGTCTCTTTGCTTATGAATACCACGTTTCCCTGAAAATAAGACCCTGTCTTATATTTTATATATATGAATATCTCTCTCTCTCTCTCTCTCTCTCTCTCTCATCTATCTATCTATCTATCTATCTATCTATCATCTATCTATCATCTATCTATATCATTTATCTACCTACCTACCTACCTACCTACCTACCTATATTATCTATATTATCGATCTATCTATCTATCTATCTATCTATCTATCTATCTATCTATCTATCTACCTATGTCTCTCTCTCTCTATCTATCTATCATCCATCTCTCTCTCTCTCTCTCTCTATATATATATATATATAATCTATATCTATCTATCTATCATCTATCTATCTATCTATCTATCTATCTATCTATCTATCTATCTATTATCTATCTATCTATCTATCTATCTATCTATCTATCTATCTATCTAT